TCTTCTGATATCTGACAAGTAGAGCTAAAAACCACATATTTCTGAACTGTGGTTTCTTTTCTCCACTTAGTGAAGAAAAGTGTTTAAATGGTATAACAACAAGATGTGTTTGTTGCACACTGATGCCCCCGTATGACAGTTTTTGCAACGGATAACGTTTCTCAAATGCAAGTCCAATTCTAAAAGATGAAAAAAAATCGTTACCCAAAGAATGGACTTTTTCTTAATGAACTTGTGAAATTTGAAAGCGAAATTGAAATTAATTATTAATTGAAGTTATGGTCAAGGTTTATTTATTGTGTGTCAACTTTAAGATCAAAGTCAAATTAAGCGATACTTAGTTCAAATATATATCTGAACTGTGGTTTCTTTTCTCCACTCAGTGAAGAAAAGTGTTTAAATGGTATAACAACAAGATGTGTTTGTTGCACACTGATGCCCCCGTATGACAGTTTTTGCGACGGATAACGTTTCTCAAATGCAAGTCCAATTCTAAAAGATGAAAAAAAAAATCGTTACCCAAAGAATGGACTTTTTCTTAACGAACTTGTGAAATTTGAAAGCGAAATTGAAATTAAGCATTAATTGAAGTTATGGTCAAGGTTTATTTATTGTGCGTCAACTTTAAGATCAAAGTCAAATTAAGAGATACTATTTCAAATATATATCTGAAATTGTAAAGCGCTTGCACCAACTGTTCAAACGCTATAGTCTAAGTTAGATTTGTCAGCAGTAGGTCAAACTCCCTTATGGCCAAGGTTAATTTTTTTTCAAAAGTAGGTCAAATTCTAAGTCATGATAAACAAGCTAATTCAGAGAATTTGTGTCCCCCGCTTGGGGATAAAGTAAACCATGCGCAGTTCGGGGGAGGGGAGGGGGTGGGGATCGGATCCCCTTGACTGAATTTGTAGAATTATTAAATGTATACTGAAGCAAATAAAATATGCCAATATGGATATAAAGGTTTGATTGCTTATTCTTTATTATGTGTATAGAAGATTCTGGAATATTTACCACACTGTAATGATGATTTTATGAGTTTGTACAAGCTAGACCTCATAATTTTTTTCATTTCACATGCTGAATACTATCATTTAGTAAAAAAAAAAGAATTTCGAAAAAAATAAAAATGGATCGTTCGGGAATCGAACCCGGGACCTCTCACGTGTGAGGCGAGAGACATACCACTAGAACACGGGGCCGCTTCGAATAGAACAATATTATATGCAAAGATAAATTCACATACATGTATATATGCACGTTCGATATTGTCAAAATTTTACACAATGCACGGTGTCTAATTATTTAACCTTTATCAAACAGTTCTAATAGATGTAATAAGAATGTAAAGTCCACCGAGAACCTGTATTATACGTAATAACTCTCCTCAAGCAATAAATACTAATAAAACAAGCTAATTCAGAGAATTCGTGTCCCCCGCTTAGGGAAAAAGTCGGCTCCCCCTGACTGAATTTGTAGAATTATTAAATGTATACATGTATACTGAAGGAAATAAAATACATGTATGTCAATATGCATATAAAGATTTGATTGCTTATTCTTTATTATGTGTATAGAAGATTTTTTTATATGGAATATTTATCACACTGTAATGATGATTTTATAACCTCATAAATTTTTCATTTCACATGCTGAATACTATCATTTAGTAAAAAAAAAGTATTTAAAAAAAAAGAGAAGAAAGGTTCGACCGAGATTCGATCCCGGAACCTCTCACATATGAAGCGAGAGACATAACCACTAGACCACGAAGTCGCTTTACTCCTAGGGAAGTATATGCAGAACTGAAGTCACATACATGTATATATTCATGTTTTCATGTTCGGTATTCTCAAAATTTTACACAATCCATGGTGTTTGATTTATTTAGCCTTTATTAAACAGTTCTAATAGATGTAATAAGAACATAAAGTCTGCCGAGAACCTGTTTTATACGCAATAACTCTCCTCATGCCCCTGCGCTAAAAATAGCGACATGTAATACTATAAATACTAATAAAACAAACGGGGCGGGGCACTTTGAGAGGGGCGAGAGACGTCCTAGGGAGTTTTGGTATAAAATTACATTGCATAAGCTCAAAATCTTCTTGAAATATCGCCCGGAAATGATAGTGTTACACACAGACAGAATGTATAAATTTACGACCTTGAACTTTGACCTTTTGACCTCAAAATCAATAGGGGTCTTCTTTAGGCCACAGGGAGTTGTTATGTAAAATTTCATTGCGATAGCTCAAATGGTTCTAGAGATATCGTGTGGAAACGAAAGTGTTTTAACAGACAGAATTTGCTTATTTATGACCTTGACCTTTGACCTTTTGACCTCAAAATCAATAGGGGTCTTCTTTAGTCCATAGGGAGTTGCTATGCTAAATTTCATTGCAAAAGCTCAAAGGGTTCTCGAGATATCGTGTGGAAACGAAAGCGTTACAGACAGACAGAAAGACGGACGGACGGACGGACGGACGGACGGACGGACAAACCCAAATTAATATCCCCCACTTTTCAAGCGGGGGACAACAAACGGGTCGGGACACTTTGAGAGGGATGAGGTAGGTCCTAGGGAGTTTTGGAATAAAATTACATTGCAAAAGCTCACAATCTTCTTGAAATATCGCCCGAAAATGATAGTGTTTCATACAGTTAGAATGTATAAATTTACGACCTTGAACTTTGACCTCAAAATCAATAGGGGTCTTTCTTAAGCCACAGGGACTTGTTATGTACAATTTCATTGCAAAAGCTCAAAGGGTTCTCGAGATATCGCGCGGAAACGAAAGTGTTATAACAGACAGAATTTGCAAATTTATGACCTTGACCTTTGACCTTTTGACCTCAAAATCAATAGGGGTCTTATTTAGTCTATAGGGAGTTATTATGCAAAATTTCATTGCAAAAGCTTAAAGGGTTCTCGAGATATCGTGTGGAAACGAAAGCGTTACAGACAGACAGAAAGACGGACGGACGGACGGACAGACCCAAATTAATATCCCCCACTTTTCAAGCGGGGGACAAAAAGTCAAATTGTTTGTATCAAAAGGAAGGCCTTGTCACATGTAATGCACATGTGAGATATGAAAGCTCTAGTTCTAACTGTTCAAAAGTTATGTCCAACTTGAAGGTTAAAGATTTTAAAAATGTGGCCAAAGCAAAAATCAAGGTAACAAGCTAATTCAGAGAATTCTTGTCCCCCGCTTAGGGAAAAAGTCGGCTCCCCCTGACTGAATTTGTAGAATTATTAAATGTATACTGAAGCAAATAAAATACATGTATGTCAATATGCATATACATGTAAAGATTTGATTGATTATTCTTTATTATGTGTATAGAAGATTTTTTATATGGAATATTTATCACACTGTAATGATGATTTTATAACCTCATAAATTTTTCATTTCACATGCTGAATACTATCATTTAGTAAAAAAAAAGTATTTAAAAAAAAAAAAAAAGGATCGACCAAGATTTGATCCCGGGACCTCTCACATTTGAAGCGAGAGACATAACCACTAGACCACGGAATCGCTTAAAACAATGCGAAGTATATGCAGAACTAAAGTCACATACATGTATATATTCATGTTTTCATGTTCGGTATTCTCAAAATTTTACACAATCCATGGTGTTTGATTTATTTAGCCTTTATTAAACAGTTCTAATAGATGTAATAAGAACATAAAGTCCGCCGAGAACCTGTTTTATACGCAATAACTCTCCTCATGCCCCTGCGCTAAAAATAGCGACATGTAATACTATAAATACTAATAAAACAAACGGGGCGGGGCACTTTGAGAGGGGCGAGAGACGTCCTAGGGAGTTTTGGTATAAAATTACATTGCATAAGCTCAAAATCTTCTTGAAATATCGCCCGGAAATGATAGTGTTACACACAGACAGAATGTATAAATTTACGACCTTGAACTTTGACCTTTTGACCTCAAAATCAAAGGGGTCTTCTTTAGGCCACAGGGAGTTGTTATGTAAAATTTCTTTGCTATAGCTCAAATGCTTCTAGAGATATCGTGTGGAAACGAAAGTGTTTTAGCAGACAGAATTTGCCTATTTATGACCTTGACCTTTGTCCTTTTGACCTCAAAATCAATAGGGGTCTTTTTTAGTCCATAGGGAGTTGCTATGCTAAATTTCATTGCAAAAGCTCAAAGGGTTCTCGAGATATCGTGTGGAAACGAAAGCTACACAGACAGACAGAAAGACGGACGGACGGACGGACAGACAGACGGACGGACGGACGGACGGACGGACGGACGGACGGACAAACCCAAATTAATATCCCCCACTTTTCAAGCGGGGGACAAAAAGATATTCATATCAATGGATATTATGAATACTCGTGAAATTTGACTGTTCAAAAATTATGGCCAATGTAAAAGTTTTGTAAAAATAACGTCAAATTCCAAGGACAAGGTAAAAAATGTTTACCTAAGAAAGGTCTTGCTATACAGAATACACATGGAATATTAGAGCCATACACATGTAGCTTTAACCAATCAAAAGAAATTGGTAATTTTAAAGTTTCTGCGGACAAACAGCTAGACAGACGGACGTACAGGGCAAAAACTATACTGACACGCAAAAGAAACGCAACACCCTCCTTTAGGGGGAAATAATTATGTAAAGTAAAGAATTTTGTATCTTAAAATTATGAATATCTTCAATTTCGTAAACATCGGTAATTTAACGGTTGAACGATTTCCAAACCATAACCGGAAGTCAAGTTTTAGTCTGCTTAACAGAAATAAAAAATTGCATGTTTAACAAAACATTTGGCAATATTATGGATTCTTAAGGGTTTTTTACTGTTCATCATACGTAATGCAGCAATATTTTTAAAAAATGAACTCTCCTTTCGTTTCCTCTAACGATGCTAAGGCTACTTGAAAATGGCTTATGTACGCATTTTCATTGCTCTGGCTGGAAAATTACAATGTAAAGGTGATGGAGAATTGCTGATGCGAAATTTCACTACATTACGCCTCAACAGGGTCTTTCGTACCATATGCAGTAAGGACAGTCCTTGTACCGGAAGTCCAAGGGTTGCTACACTACTCTAAGTTAGAGAAAATTCGACCTAATCATCTGAATAACGGGCATTAAAAAATGCCAAAGAATAATTCCTTCGCTCAGATCTCGATATTAATGAACCTATTGTATCGTAGAAATTAAGCTGCAATTGTTGTTTAGGGCAGTCTTGCACGTTTTACTTGAATGGCTGGGAGGGGGGTGTTTTAACAGTCATATTTTACTTAGTAAAGTAAACACATAAACATTTAACATTTTTATCAAATCTCTGGTGTTCAGAAAAGTGAGTTTAGCCTTACTTTATTCGCTTTTGATAATCATCAGATAAAAATTATCAAACATTTGTAGATTACTACTTGTTGCGTTTCTTTTGCGTGTCAGTATATATACCCCCGAAACACCCCCGATTACGGTTTTAAAAAGCAACACAACAATCAGTAAAGCAGTTCAAAACAAAGCCAATATTGATATGTACATTGACTATTGTAATAGTTAGAAAGTCGTAGACTATGTTGCAAACTGACAACTTGGTTAGTTTGAGGATTTTTTACTTTCCGGAGGACATGTTTAAATGTCCGTTTAAAGAACACAATTAATGTTTGTCCGATCAAATCACCAGTAAAACATGGCAGTAAGTGATTATACACAGACTAAAGCTTAAATATCCTATAAATACTATATCTTTGGTTTCTACATAATGCATAGACGGTTAACATGTAACCTCCGGTATAGTAATGAAATCAGTTAACTTATTCTCTGTTTTCTAACGCAGTCCCGTCATGCTCTCGGTGGAATCCTCCAGACCACTAGATTTGGAGCTACATTCGGGTATCACATCTTGCTTTCTCAGCAAACTTTCCAACATGTTGCACGTTGAAGTTAATGGCGATATGCACTCTTCCCTAGCCGGAGCATTGTCTGGATTAGACAAACAATCCGTATTCAATTCAGGTGCTTTTCCGCTCGCGTTGTTTTCGAACAGATCAAGCAAAATGCCGCATTGTTCTGTTGACAATTCCAGGATATCTTCCTCATCATTTCCACCGGAATTGGTGACACTGTCCTTCTTTAGTATATACTCAAATGACACGGAGTCATGAAGTTCATCAGCTCTACCTGTGCTTCTGTCAAAAGAATGAGATGGAGCGGAGATTTCTTCTTTTTTCTGTTTTTGTAAATGCTGAGCATTAGTGGATTTAACATAAAACATGTCATTATTTTGTTGACAGTTTTGCCCTCCTGTAGGCATTCTCTTGCTGAGGTGTTGTCGTAAACCTATCTTTACTGATGGAATGACCTTTTGGTCGTCATTGCTCAGCCAACCTTCGTTCTTGGTCTTCTTGCAAGGGGGTATTGAAATATTTGGAGTCTGTTCGAGTACTTCTGGCATGCCTTGTTTGACAAGGTCTTCTACCATAGTGTTTATTTCAGATATACGTTTCTGTGGCTTCTTTTTCTTTTTGACCCTGGAATGTTCCAAATCCTCCGATAGGCCATATAATTTCAATTTTAATTCCAGTTGCTAAAATAAAATTTACCGATATATTAGAATCCCCAACAATTTTAAGAGCATAACTTTCATATATACAGTTGAATTAAAATGTATACATTGTATCAAAGTTATCCAATCGTATTTTTTAAAACTACATGCATGTCGTATGAATCATTTAAAGGGGCATGGACAGTTTCAACTGAATTTTTTTAACCAATTTTAGTGTTTGCGATTCTTACATAAGGCATCATCTATTGATTAGCAAAAATTTGAACATCATTTGTTGACTAACAAACAAGATACTGAATGAACGTAAAGTTCTCCATAATTTAAACAAGGCTCGTGCCTTGTTTTTGTTTACATAATAGAAAATATATTTATAACAAAATCAATAGAAACTGACAAATCGAATTTAAAATTAACTTTTTATTGATATTATCTACTTTGAACGAACATATATTAGTATATTAATCTATGTAAACAAAAACATGACAAGGTCCTTGTTTACTTAACAAAGGTTTGGAGCTCTAAATCTGTCTTGTATTTCGACAACTGACGTTAATTTTCGATGATCATTAGAAAGACCCTAGTGGGATATTTGTAAAAATGAAAAAAATAGATTTTGAAATTTTAGCTGAAACTGTGTCCATGCCCCTGTAAGAAGAATTGAAAAAAATGTATTACTGTAAAAACTGCAAATAATGAGCTCAACTGGTCATCACCACTTTAAAATTATGCAGTTTTAGGTAGATTTTCTTACCATTAATACATTTTACTAAATTAGTTTTTAATGGTTCCTTACAAAAATTTTGATGAGCAGTTTCTGATGTTTTAAATTCATGGCCTTTTGGTTTTCCTCCAACTTTTTCAAAGTGTGCTTGTCCTTCATGAGTTCCTTCATATATTCCACCGATGCTTTCAAAATGGACCCTTTATTTTGCTTTAGGTCACTGTAAATAGGTGTATTCTTAATTAACTACATCCATTCACTGTTGTGACCAAATTTTATAGAATTAAGAATTTTTACAATAAAAAATCACTCTTGCCATGATGAAGTGACAAATAAAATTGAATATTAATATAATCTGCAATATTTCGAAGAGCCAAAAACTAAAACACGGGATGAAAACTCGTTTCAGGCCATTTATTGTAATTTGGGTTGTCAAAATTAGGCAGGGCTTCTGGACACAGTGACACAAATGGCAGATATTATCGTCCTGAAAAGTTCAAGAATAAAATAACATTTTCTTTAAAATACCGACACAAATTAAACAAGAGGCCATTGGGCCACATCGCTCACCTGAGTAACTTGGGTGATGCGGTTCTTTACCAGATTTCCCCTCTTGCTATACTTATCGTGCCCCTACCCCCTCCCCTTTCATGATTTTTACAATTTGATATCTACACTACTTAAGGATGCTTCCACATAAGTTTCAGCTATCCTGGCCCAGTGGTTCTTGAGGAGAAGATTTTTTAAAGATTTGTTCTATACATTTCTATGTAAAACTTGGATTCCCTATTGTGGCCCCGTCCTAACCCCGGGGGTCATGATTTTAACAATTTAATATCTACACTATCCAAGAATGCTTCCACTTAAGTTTCAGCTTTCCTGGCCCAGTGGTTCTTGAGAAGAAGATTTTTAATGACCCCACCCTATTTTTGTCTTTTCTTGATTATCTCCCTTGTAAATCCTACCTCATTTTAACAATTTAAACTCACCTTTACCCAAGGATACTTTGTATTAAGTTTGGTTAAAATTGGCCTATTGGTTCTTGAGAAGAAGTCGAAAATTTGAA